TTCAGGTTCCTGCTTTAAAATATATACATTTAAAATTTTATTTTTAATTATGTGTATGTATGTGTCTCTGTGTGGGTGTGTGTACATAAGTGCAGGTGTCTGTGGAGAACAGAGGTAACAAATGCTGTTGGACCTTTAATTATAGGTGGTTACAAGCATCTCCCCTGCCCTGTGTAGGTATTGAGAACTGAACCGGGGTTCTTTGAAAGAACAGCAAGAGCCCTTAACCACAGAACCATTTCTGTAGCCCAGAGTCCTGTTTTTGAGTGGTAGCTGGATCCCAGGTCCCTGACCAACACCTCAGCTCTGATTCTGGCCCTTGGCCCTTGGAATTAAAACCACCTGAGAAGAGTGGAAATAATTTCAGTACTGACTTCCCAAGTCTGAGAGAAACTCGTTACTTTGATCCTTGTTTTATGATCGTATGACCCAGCCGTGGCTGGGTGTTTGCTGTGTCAATTCAGAGCAACCCCATCAGTGTCCTGGGCCCGTGGTTTTGGTTGTTGTTTTGTTTTTACTCTTTTGGAAGAGCAGCTAAGGAGTGTGCACTGGTGGTGGGTGCAGTTCCCAGTTCCTTTCTGGTGTGGTCTGGAGGCCATGTCGCTTGTCCCCTTAGCTGCTGTCCCCTGACTCACACCCAGGCACTGGGTTAGCAGTCCTTGCATTCCGGGCACTGTGCTCGTTGGCCCCAGATTTGCTGCCAAGTCGTCCTTAGACAGAATGACGTGCAGCCACAATGAACCCATTTCCTCTTGTGTGATTCTCTCATTTGCTCTTCTGTAGCTGGACTTTTTGGTCAGACTTTCTTTGGGACAACCAGCTCCCCAATAATGGCATGGAGACTTATTCATTACAAAAGCTTGGCCTTTAGGGTAAGCTTGTTCCCAGCTAGCTCTTATATTAACTTAAATTAACCTGTTTCTATTAATTTTATTAAGCTGTGTTCTGCCATGTGGGGTTTTCACCTCACTTCCGTTTTGTATGTCTGACTTACGCTCTGACATCTCTCATGCACCTAGATTCTAACCTCTTGAGTTCCTCTCTCTGCCTGGAAGTCCCACCTAACCTCTCCTGCCTAGCTATTGGCCATTCTTTTTATTAAACCAATCATAGCAGTACATCTTCACACAGTGTGCAAATATCGAGAAACACTCTTCTGATTACCAGTGGAGAATGTCTCATAAGTTAGATCCTCTTTACCCATTAAATCAGTTTTTCAGTGCAAGAATTAGGGCCAACTGAAAAGTTAGAGGAAGGAGCCTCACAAGATAGCCCCCTCCCTCTGACACCTCGCTGCAAATGTAGGGGACTCCTCAAACTACCTCAGACTCAGTGCTAATTCTAGAAGGGTCCAATTTGTTTACTACAGGGAAAGGATAGAGATTAAAATCCGCCCAGAGAAGTGCATGGTATAGGGTCTGGGGAAATACCAAAGCATCCCAGACACATTATTTTCCTGCATTGGTGTGTGAGCTTCTCTATCGAAAGTTTTATTGGGACTCCAGACATAGGTGTGCACCGCTGTCTTCCTTGAAGACTCATCTCCACTCTTGTAGGCAATGAAGCTCTTGCTGGCTCAAAGCCCTGACTCCAAATCATCTTGGTGTGGTTCAAGTCCTCAGGTAAACAAGACATTCTTTTTTGGTGTAGCGTTCCAGAGACTTGGCAGTTTCCTCCCAGAAGCCTAGAGTAAAGGCCAGACCTTTTTATTCATGGTATTAAATTCTCCACTATGTCACATAAATAAAAGGAAAGTACAAGTGAAAGTTGGAGCACATGTAAGCCTGCTTTTAGCACCAATCATCTACCTTGCGACTTCTTCCCAGACCATGTTGAGTTTGCCTTAGTGAAAAGTATCCTAAGATCCCAAGAAGAACTGTGTTTTTTAAAAAATAAGCAAGAAACCAAAACTGAAATTAGAAATGAGTAAGGTAAAAGCAGGTATCTGGAGGCTTTTAGCCACAGGGCAGAAAAGCACATAAAGAGCAGGTAGGTAGGATAAAAGACAAAGTAGATTATGTTTTTTGCTGAGAGTCCGAGTGTCTTTGGGCTGCAAATCTGTCAGCCTCCCATATTATTGGAGGAAGCATTTTGACAGTCTCTTCCATCAGCAGTCGGTAATTGATGACTACGAATGTAAAACCTCACCTTGTGCACTCAGCTGTAATTGGCCCTGGGCTGCTACCAACCTTCCAGATTCAGAAGAAAAGATAATGGATGAGGGCTGACAGAATGCCAGAGATATGCTCTCCTTCAATAAGGAACCAAGTTGCTTATTGAGATCCTGGGAACTACCCATTTGGGCACAGTGGGCCAAACTGTTTTGAAGATTTGAAATGAGAAGGAAAAAAAATCCAAGTCACTTTTGAAGGACAGTATGACTTTGACTTTACTAAATGGAGAGATTGTATACCATAATTGATATCTTTGGGAATTTTCTGCTGTTTTGAGCTGGAGGTGGTGGTGCACACCTGTAATCTCACCACCAGGGAGACAGAAGCAGGAGGATTGCTGAGAGTCTGAGGCCAGCCTGGGCTATACACCAAATACCACATCAGCTGGACTATATAGTAAGACCCTATATCAAAAACCAACAGGGCTGTGGCGATGGCTCAGTATGTCCTGTGCAAATATGAGAACCTGAGCTTGGATCCTCAGCACCTGTGTAAAAACCCAACCTAGTTGTTCATGTCTGAACTGAAACCCCAGTACTGGGAGGGGGGAGACAGAGACAGAGACACGGGAGAGGCCTGTGGGCTTCCTGGTGAGCAGTCTCATTGAATCAGTGAGTGCCAAATTTAGTGAGAGACCTTGTTTCAAAAAGCAAGATGGATAGAGACTGAAGGATACTCAGTTGTTGACCTCTAGCCTCCACATGCATGCACACAGGCAAACATGCCCATGTACATGCATACATACATACATATATATACACATACATACACACACATATATATTCCACACATTGACATAAAACACACAAAAACCTAAACCATAACAAATAACACATACATACCCTGTAATTTATATCTGTGGGGATTTCTCTCCCTGTGTTTTGGATTCCAGTTTTATAAAGCCCGTACTTTATGCCATACATTTTATTTAATATTTCCAGATTTATGTGTATGAATGTTTTGCCTGCATGTATCTATGTGTACCATGTATATGCCTGGTGCTTACAGAGGTCAGAAAAGGCCTCCGATTCCCTGAAACTGGAGTTAGGGAAGGTTGTGCGGTTGTGAACCACCATGTTGACAAGCCAGGGTTCACACCCTTAAAGAAAACTGACTAGTTGGGACTTGAACGCAGGTCCTCTGCAAGAGCAACAAGTGCTTTTAACCACCGAGCCATCTTTCCCACCATATATTTTCATTTCGTCCTGTGACTCATAAAAGAGTCCATGTCTGTTTTGCAGATGAGGATGCTTAGTCAACAAGGCAAAAGATTGAGCTCACAGGAAGTGATCTTACTGCATGAGGATGACTTCCTTCTGATGCCTATAGGTTTAGAAGAACAGTCACTCTGCAATTTTCGTGACATGTCTGTTTTCCAGTGTGACTTGAATAGAACCAACCCAAAAAGTAGGCAAATAATGTTTCCGTGAGTCTATGTGCTGCATTTGCCTCCACCATCAAGGAGCCCCTCACTTGAAGCCTATATTGCTGCTTGGGGTGTGTGTGTGTGTGTGTGTGTGTGTGTGTGTGTGTGTGTTTGAAAAGTGGCTCAGTGAGGGGTGTCTAGAAATAGCAACTTGGAAAAGAAGGGACATTAAAAGTGATAGAGTGAAGAGGATGTCACCAAATGTCACCTGTGTTCTAGGGCCTGCCAGGTACATGAAGTTCTTTGGTCCTGGCACCTAACTAGCAGTGAGTATGAAATGTGGTCACCTTCACATGCCTGATGTCAGATTCCTCGACAATCTTGAGAGAAGGTCTGGGGGAAGGGATTATAGTTTACAGATTGAAAAGTGTGAAGTTTGGTATGGTTAAAGACTCGCTCCAGTTACACAGCCAGTACAGTGCAGTGATAGTGAAGCGTGTGTGAAGCACATGCCCTGTGAGTTTAACACGGTAACTGTTGGAGAAAATAGATAACTATGAACTGTCCATAGGGAAGTGGCAGAGACGTAATAGGCAACCTATACAAGAAGAGTATATAACTGAGTCACCTTTAAATTCCGGATTTGGGGGCAATAAGTTGTTCTCTCCTAAATAAGAATATTTTAGAAATAGCGTTTGTATCAATTCTTTGAGAATATCATACAGGGTATTTCGATTATACTCACCTTCCAACTCCTTGCTGATTCGCTTCCACCACCTTACCCACTCAACTTCGGGTTCTTTTTTAAAAACTCATCTACTCATTTGTGTTGCTTAAATCGTCTTGGGTATGGGGCCTGCTCTGGACTGTGGTCAGCCTCGCAAAGGTCACACCCTCAAAGAAAGCTAACTAGCTCCTCAGCTACACCTCTCCTACTCGGAACTCAAATTTTCTCTGGCTTTAGCTTGCTGCAAGTCTTCTGAATGCTATTAGAATTGCTATGAGTTCATACGTGCATTTGCCCTGTTAGTTGGGAAAACAGTTTCGTTGTGACCATCCACTACCTCTGGCTCTTACAGTCTTTCTGCTTCTTCTTATGAGATGATCCCTGAGCCTTGAGGGGTGTCTCAAAATAAGATATTTTTGAGTGTGCCTTCTACTAGTTGTTAGTTAGAGTTAGGTTGTGAACTGCCAGCGTCAGCCTAGCTGGGAACTGTTAGAAATGCAAACTCTTAGGCCCCCATCTCTCTCACTGGATCATAAATACTGGAGTAAGTCTCATCGATCTGAATTGACCGACACTTCACCCTGACTGATGCAGGTGAACATGCTGTTCTGGGAGGTAGACCACCCACCTGCCTTGCCTTTTGCTCTGACACCTACTGGCCTCCAGCATCTCCCTGGCTACTGGTAGAGTTGGCAGCTGTAGGTGGTGGGGGGTGTACTGTACTGCTTTTCCCTTCCTGTGTGAGGCTTTCTGATCTGGGCAAAGCATTTGGCCTCTCTGTTTTCTCATCCATGAAGTACAGTAAGCATTTAATTAAATTAAATACTAAATAGGTGTAAAGTGTAACCATGTCTGGCACCTGAAAGGTGCTTAATGAATGTTTGCACATCTCAACTTGTCATCTGGAAAGTCTACTGATGGCCTTAGAGACATGCACTGAAGTGGAGACTTGGACTCTAAGGACAATGAGTCCCCTGATTGTCTCTACAGGAGTGAGAATACAAGGCTTCTCAGGAAACTGAGGGACAGGACGTTAAATGAATGTAGGAGCGGGGTGGCCACACTGGCCACGAGCAAAATCCAGCTTGTTGGCCAAGAATGGCTTTTATATTTTTAAATGGCTGGTAGAAAAATGCAAAGAAAAGTGATATTATGCACCACGTGAAAGCCTTTAAAATTTGAAATTTAATGTTCATAAATAAGAGTATTTGGGGGCACAGTTCATTCATTTATGGATTATCTGTGGCTGTTCCTTGATGTGGTACACAGTCACAGTCATTGGGTCTTATTTGAAGTGCTTGAGATCAGATGTATTTCAGATCTTTTTCTCTTAGATTTTGGAGCATTTGCATTATAAATAATGGAGTATATTATAGAAGAAACCCAAGCCTAAACATGAGATTCATTTGTGTTTCACATAACTTCATACATGTAGCCTATTATACTTTTAGCACACCTCCATTTTGACTCTGATCTGTCATGTGAAATCAAATCAGGTGTGGAATTTTCTTCTAAAAAATTTTATTAGCTTTATTTATTGTGTATGCTCCCTAACACCCCTACCCCACCTTTTGGCAGAGGCCAGAAGAGGGCTTCAGCTCCCTTGGAGCTGGCGTTGCAGGCATTGGTGGGATTCCTGGCTTGCTATGTGGCTACTGGGATCTGAACTCTGCTCCTCATGATTATGTAGCAAAGCCCTCTTAACTGCTGAGCCATCTCTCCAGCCCATATTGTACATGCTTTTGTGCCTTGTTTAATGAGTGGAGATAGGGATCAACAAACAAACAAACAAACAGACCCCCCTAAAACAAAACCATGCTATTGAGGCTTTGGTCATGTTCTACTGCTGGGGCCCATTAATTAACCCAGCCTGCTAAGGTGCAGTCATGCTGAGCCCACAGCGGGCTTTGGGAAGGGGAATGAGACTGAGAAGGACTGGACAGCAGAGAGTTCTGTTGCCTTTCAGTCTGTAAAGTAAGAATGTCAAGGAACAATTGTTTCTTCATCCCTGTGAATGTAGCCTTGTGTTCTCAAAGGTCAGCGCCTGTGAACACATCATGGTTTCAAGTGGGTTCCTATGGTAATGGGGCCGTTGTGACTGAGGGTGTTTTGTGTCAGGCAAGGGCTGCTGATTTTCATCGCTCAGTGTGTCTCATGCTTGCTTCCCGCAAACTTTAACCGTTTCTGTTTTTCCCTTTTTCTTTTCATCCTTCTTGCTCCTCGCACAGGCCTGGAGCCAGAGGACCCTTCAGCAGGTATGGCTTTTCTTGCCTTCTTATCTGCTGTGCCTTGAGGCGCCAGGGATCCTTGAATGAGAGGAAAGCCTGTGACTGATGGGGATTTGTTTTTGGTTTTTGTCTCAGATGAGTGGCGACTTTCTTCCAGTGCCGATGCCAATGGTAACGCCCAGCCCTCCCCACTTGCTGCCAAGGGCTATAGAAGCGTGCACCCCAGCCTTTCTGCTGACAAGCCCCAGGTAGGTGTGTGCCCACAGATGGGCTGGGAACTCGTTAGTGGTGCCTGTTCTCAAGTTAAGCAGCCCAAACTCAACTCGTGACTTCCTGCTAGCCCAGCTGGACTGTGGAGTAGGAGTCTGGTCTTTGGTCATCCCTGAAATAACTTTCTTAGGAGGAGAGTTGGGTTCAAAGGGAGCAGGAGTATGGGATGAGGTTGGTCCGTGTGGGTGTTAGAAATAGGCCTGCTGTTTTCTAGGCTTAATATGTGAAAGAAAGAATTCATTTAGCCTTGGACAGGTAGGAGAACGTCTGAGCTTATTTCTAAGGACTTCTTCAGAGCATAATCAGAGGAGGGACTCTGGTGTTTACTCCATTAACTTCCAAAGCTGAGACTTTGAACACTGTCATCACCGATGAACATCAGATATTTGTGGCCAGACCATAAACCCAGTAGCCCAGAGGCCTGAGGACAGAAATCACAATGGCCGCACAGGCTGGCTTCACAGTCCAGCTCTGCTCTGCAGTAGAAAATCCCTCATCTCCAGCCATACCACTCTGCACCCGCACAATCTCATGTGATCTTGGAAGCTAAGCAGGGTTAGGCATGGCTAATACTTGCATGGGAGCCCTCTACAGCTGTTATGGTTTGGAGCAGGGATGACTTTGCTTCAGTTGTTGCTGCTGGGTGGTTTTCTATCCTTCCTCCCTTCTCCTCTCTATACTTTGCTATTTTGTTGAAAGGAATAGATCCTAACATTCCAGCGGTATGTGAAGGATGTTGTATAAGGAGGAGCCACTTACATGGAATGGAGCCATCTTCCTTATGCTCAGAAGATCCCTGGGCGGTACAAGCCCTGGTGCTTCCTCCTGGTGCTCCTAGAACATACAGGGAAGTCAGATGGCATCTTCCCTCTGTGCAGAACTGTCTCCCTGGTCTGCAGTTTGTCCCTCATCTGTCTTGTTGGTGAGCTGCACTGTAAAGCCTTTCTGCCTCCTGCCCTGACTTAGCTCTCCACTTTCAGCCTTGTACACCGAGGCTGTGGTTGGGGCCAGGAGCCATGGATATGCCCGGCCTCCCAGAGGTCAGTTGTCTGTTAAATGAATTGCCAGAATTTTCCCATTTCTGAAAGCTTTCTGAGTATGCAATGTGCCGTTTGTGGTAGCAGCACCTCCTTCTCAGCTGTCTCGAGGATGGATACTATTGCTCTGCCTGGGTGAGAACACGATCAGGATCAAGTTGAAGACGTTAACATAGACTCTCTCTCACCGCCAGTGACGTAGCCCGCAGGCTAACCCTCCGATGCCTTTTGGTTTTGTGAACACACACAAAAAAAGCATGGTCCAGGGTAGGGTTATATTTCAGGGGTGAAACACTTGCCTAGTATGTACAAGGCCCAGGACTCATTTTCCAACACCATGTAACTAAATAACTATCACATGGGGGATAAAGATGAGTCCTTTGAAAATACATGTATTTAACACAGCTTTGTTAGGCACTTGTATTCAGACCCGTGTGCTGAACATTGCCCTCCAGGAGTTCATAAGGGTAACAGTGTAATAAGGTTGAGCATCCTGTGATATCTCTGTTAGCACATGTTTTGATCTGTTTGTTACTCAACTTCACATTTCCTGGGCTGTCTTCAGGAAGAATGGTACATAGCAGACGCAGGAATTTTATTCTGCACAGTTAATGTAAGATTTGCCATTTGAATGTCAAGAACTTTATGTCCCGTATTACTTTGCAGATTTATTTTCTGAAAGTAAACACGACTTCTTAGCTATGTAGTGCTTGCTATAATTACACATGGGCTTCAATAAAGGCAAGGCAGGCTGGGCAACTTCTTGGCTTTGTTCCAGCCCCATAGAATTTATGGATCTGTTGGCAGAACATCTCCCCTTAAGGACTGAGTTGGGATACAGGAGGTGGATGGGCTAGGTGGAAATCCTATGTCCTGCCCACCTGGCCTTGCTCCCTCTGTTCCCAGAGCCAGGGAACCACAGCTCTCTTTTTGTGATGTCATCAGCAGCATGGTAGTCCCAGTAGAGATGAGGCTTGGCTGTTTCTGGAAACTGTATAAACCAAATAGCCTCCCTGTCCCATAGACCTACCTTCTAAGATAAGTAGAATTTCATTAGTGGTCAGTGGGCAGGTTAGGCTGCAGGACTTAGAATGAAGTAAAAAGCTGCTCCTTTGTGTACTTGCTCAGACTAACTCCCTCCTTCTTTAGAGTTCAAAGAAGCGCAGGGACAGGAAGTCCTTTGACTCTGTGTGCACTGTGGACACCCTGGGGAAGTGTCCTCTCTCTAAGGTCACAACCCTAGGAGGGCTTGTGCCTGATGTCATGCAGTACCATACATGGCCATGGCTGAATTAAGTTTAAAACTCATAGAAACAGATTTCTATCTTTGGACAAAAGAAATACCATGCACGATACGACAGTGCTGCCAAGTCAGAGCAAATGTGAGCCCAGATCGGAATGGTTTTCTGCTTGCTTCTCGTCAGCCCTGTCCTCACTTGACAGTCCCGATGGCGGGAGTTAGTTCAGTCGTTGTTCTGGAGACTGTAAGCTAGACTGCCAAGTGTTCCAGGACTCAGTCTGAGTTCATCAAACCGAATAGCTAATGTGACAGTTTTTGCTTTTGTTCTACACCAGAGGGCCTCTTTGTTGTGGATTTGGGGCTGGTATAAATGGCCACGCTCCATTGGCACCGTGTGAGTGCGCTGGGACAAGGCACGGATCTGCTTAACTGAGAATACCCAAATAGTTGCCTCTCCACCCAGACTGTCTGTCCTATCAAACTTGTGTTTAAGGTGTAGGCTGTATATTATGTCTGGATGATAGTCCAATCCAAAGTCAAGATTGTTTTCATTTTCTCACCTAGTCCCCTTTCTAATTTCCCCCCTTTTCCACATATCTTCTACAAAATATAAAATAAAATGAGAATTGGCCTCAATATAGTCAGTGTGTGTGTGTGTGTCACATGCATGTGCATATGCAGATGTGCTCATCTGTGTGTACACACACAAAGACAAAAGAAGGATGTTAGGTTGTCTGTCTTTCTCCCTTGAGACAGGGCTTTTCACTGAATCACAAGCTTGCCATTTTAACCAGGCCAGCCAGCCAGTGAGCTCTGGGATCTGCCTGTCTCTGCCACCACATGGTTAGGGTTACAGCAATGTGCAGGCATGCCAAACTCTTTATTTCTTTCCTGGGGATTCGAACTTGGGTTGTCGTGCTTGCACAGCAAGTGAGCTTGCTCATGGAGCCATCTTCCCAGCCCCTTCCTAGTTTTTGACACACCTGCCATATAGTCACCAACTTCTAGTCTTTTACATGTGTGCAATTAGAGGAAGGTTCTGGTTTTGTTCTCATGCTGAAATCTGAGGATCGGGGCCAGTGAGCAAAGTCTCGGGACATTGGGAGTCTAGTTCCCAGGTGAGCCACAGGTTGGCTGAGGAGGATCAGGCTGGAGGACCACCCTTCCTCCTGTCCTTCTGCCCACTGAGACCCATGGAAGAAAGCTGTTGAGTGGAGAGGGGGGAGGTATGAATTTTAGCTGTAATTCTGAGCCTGTCACCAGAGCTTTGTTCTCACACTGTGGCTAAAGTTTGATCACCCAAGTATAGAAATGATTGCCTGTGCATGGTGGTGGACTGGCTGAATAAACCAGACTCAGCCCAACCCCATAGGCTAATGACATGTCGAATGGCTCAGGCTTTTGACCCTGTGCCTGCAGAAGTGGGAGACCATATGCTTTTAATCTCTGGACTGTCTCCCGTGCCCTTTCATTACAGTTCTGGGGATTTAACTCAGAGCCTTATATGTGCTAGGCAGACCGAGCTACCTCCTCAGCTATGTTTTCAGTGGTTAATTTTATCAAATTATTTCTTCTGAGAAAAGAGCACATATGGACTCATTCTTAAATGTCCTCCTCCCATTAGTGAACTTTGTGTGGTTGTCGAATTGAGAGAGCTGAGGGCCGGAGAGATGGCTCAGAGGTGAAGAGCACGGGCAGCTCTTCCAAAGGTCCTGAGTTCAATTCCCAGCCACCACAACCATCTATAATGAGATCTGGTGCCCTTTTCTGGTGTGCAGGCCGGCAGGCAGAATACTGCATACATAATAAATAAATAAATCTTAGGGGGGAAAAAAAAGAATTGAGAGAGCTGAACCGGGGACTCACGGAAGACCTCTGCCTCCTGTGAGCACACGTCCAGGAGGGCTTTCCATTTCTCCTTTTTCTACAGGGAAAGCATTAAAGTAACTCAGACAAGGCTAATGAATTTTAAAACTAAAAGCTTCACTAAGAGTCTTGAGAAGGGGGTTGGGGAGGAAGGAGCACTCAACTCCGGGGCTTCATCCCCTGGCAGAGGGGCCCTTGAGTCAGGGTATCAGTAAAGATGCAGCCAGACAAACGGTGGTGTTGGAGCTGGCTCGGCCTCCCTGGCTTGTGAGTCAGGCCAGCCCTGCAGGTAAGTGTGAGTCAGCCCTCAGAGCTGCCCAGACGACCGACAGCTGTGGGCACCAGCAGGATTGGCTTCAAAGTATCAAGAGTTGTTTTGTCTTTCATCATGCTGTGCCATGCCGCTGTTTCTAATGACCCTTCTCTCCATCTCCCCTCCTCTTTTTCTCTGTTCTGATGTCATGTCTTGAAACCACTACTAAAGGCTCTGTCTCCCCCACGCCTTCCTTTCCCTCAGAAGGACCGCTTTGCATGGCAGCTCCCTGATGTCCACCGTGCCTACAAGGACTCCCTCTACATGAGCTCACCAAAGCCTTACATCCTGCCCAGCACCCCCATCCAGCAGAACCCCTCACTGCCTCCACCCATCTCTGTTCCCCTCGCAGCTAGACTGGCTCCCAGAGGTGCAGCGTGTCCTGAGTCATTGCTTTTGGGGTCCACGGTCCTCGACGCTTCCTCCTGACCCCAGCAACACTATGCAGCCTCCAGATTAGTGTACAGTAAGAATGTGAGCTCTAACCCACGTCATGAGGCCACAGGGAATAAAAAGATCAGCAGCTTATATGTCCCGTGTTTATCCAATAACATTTGCCGGGCAACACTGGAAAACTACCCTCCTGTTGCACGTGACTCAGCCAAAGACACTCCCTCGGAGGCTGCAGGCACCCAGGCACCAGCTCCCAGCCTTGTCCCTGGCACAGCCACAGCCAGCACGGGAAAACCACCCCCTGCTCCTCCTCCTGACCCTCCCAAGCTGTTCTCTGACCACCGCAAAGATGCTGGTAACCTTGGTGAGAATCCCACACTGGGGACATGGGCCTTGTTCCCAGATGCAGTGAGGCCTCCCGGGCTAGGCCCCCAGGTTACCTCTGATCCCGAAAACCAGAAGAACAAAGAAACATACCTTTTGCAGCCGTGTTGTCCAGCCAAGGCAAGAAACCAGGAATGTCTGTGTGTCTTCTACGCTGTCTCTTTCAGAACCAGCTCAAGTGGCTCACTTGTTCTCTGGGCTTCCCTCCTGCCCCTCTCCTCGTTAGTGTACAGCGCTTGAGTCCTGAATTCTTCTCTCTAAACCTCCCAGCATAGCCTCTTCTGTCTCCCTGTCTCTTGTCTGTAAATGTCTCAGTATGCCAGAGCGTGGAACTAATAATGTGGTGAGATAGTATGTTTATATCCTGTGACAAGGTGCTGAAGAAGCTGTCTTGACTCCCAAGCTTGCAGGCGCCGTGGCGGTTTAACGGAGTTGGACGCTGCCTGCTTGCCTGCCTGCATATTCTGTTCTTTGCTCTCTTTCTCTCTCATAAAGTGTTAAAAGGATTCAAAAATAGATGGTGGAAAGTGAACTTGGATGGGGCTCCCTCTGTGTCATAGAGTGTCAGGAGGCCAGCTGGCTAGCACTGGCTAGCACTGACTGTCTCATGTACTCTGAGGAAAGGGCACTGATTAAATATTTCTCAAAGTGCATCACTGCATGTCCATGAGCAACTGTTTAAATGTGGAATTAAATTCCTGCGTCTCTGCAGTCCCCTTTGCGTAACGACCCCTTATTTCCCACAGGATGCCACCTCCTCCAGCCCAGCCCCGTCTGAGGTAATAGTTGTCCCTCTCTACCTGGTTAATACTGACAGAGGGCAAGAAGGCACTGCCAGAACTCCAGCATCTCTGGGGCCACTTGGCTGCGTCCACACTACCCCGGCGACCACCCCTGCTGCCTCACCTCTGACCTTCCCGACACTAGATGATTTCATTCCCCCTCATCTGCAGAGGTGGCCCCACCACAGCCAGCCAGCCAGTGCTTGTGGCTCCCTCCCCCCTGCTAGCCAGAGGCCACCACCCTCACCACCACCTCCGCTGGTCCCTCCCATACCGGAGGACCTCCACAGAGGCTTGGAGCCTGACCTCCCCGGAGCTGTCTCAAGTACCGTAAGCTTGCTGGACCCCCTTCCCCGCGGCTTCCTGAATGTCTGCTCCTGGCAGTAAAACCCTCCCTTTCTCACTGAAGTACTAAGTTCTGAGGAGGCCTTGGACACTGTGCTTGTGTGAGGGCTGGACCTGTGTTTGCTGTCTCCGGAGTGCATGCCTCCCATGTGCATCCTGTGGGCCCCCTGTGGCTGCTCTTGACTCCCAAGAACCTTCTCTTCTCTGCTTTATTGCAAATGCACGTCATTTTGCTGGAACTTTGTCTTCCCTTTGAGAAGCACCTGTGGCCCATCCCTTGCCTGGTCCTGGTCTTCATAGGCCCACCAGATATAGCCCTGAAGGCTGGGGAAAGCTGCAGGGTCCTGTGGGAAGCCACAGGCAGGTGTGATGCTAGGGAATGAGGGAGCAGAGAGGTTGTGAGGAAAGGAAAAGTTTCATTCTTTGGCTGATTTCCTAAGTGGTCTCTCTTTTTAACAGAAGTGCAGACATAGGGCAGGGGGTGGGGGGTGGGCTGGGCAGGGAGAGGTTTAATTGTGTAAAGGGATCTGAAAACCTGTGTGTCAAGACCTCCTCACAAGACAGATAATTGCTAGGGCCTCTGAGTAGGAAGGAAGCCACTGTGGTTTTGGTGGCAAACTTGTATATCAGTAATTGTGGGAAGTTAAAAGGTCTTGACTGTTCAGTGTGAGTCTCTTCACAGAAAACCCAGCTGCTTCTGGCACAGTATGTATCCTTCCCTAGGAGGTCAGGAAGAGAGAATCTGAATGAGTGTCCTCATAAGTCGTAATATGAGGACACTCACAGGCTATAGGCTTCATTGGGGTTGAATGGTAACAGTTCCCATGATAGGAACTCGTAGTTTAGCTCAGCATAAGTGAAGTATCTGGTTACTGTTAGCTGCTTTGCTGAGGACTTGCCCTGGTGAATGGAAAGGTTAAAGTAACTGGTTAGTTAGTGATGGCGTCATCCCTGCCATGTTCTAAGCAACTAGGTTTCACAGGTACACTTAAAACAAGCCAGGGCTCCTGCTCTTAAATGATCTGGAGGAGGGGTAGAGTACATCCGCTCTCAAGGCTAGAAAAGTCTAGTTTATATATCATGAATTTGATTGAGTGTGTCTGGGAAGGGGCTGGGGCCAGGGCCTCTTACTTGGTTGCAAGTATCCAAGGGGTTTTGATATTGGGGCCATAAACACCACTATCGACGTACAGTCAGCCAAGTGTTTGCTGACCAAACTAAACATTTACAAGCATCCTTTGTTGGAAGAAGTATGCTCACGAAACTAGCTTAAATGGCTTTTTAAGCTGAATCAAGTTAGGGAACAGGAAGGAAGGTTCTTATTTGGCTCAGTAGGGAAATTGTAATGAGGTGTCAGGCACATGGAAGCTGGGAACTGTTACGTCATGGACTGGACCTCTTCTCAAATCACCAGATGCAGCGCAAGGAAGTTAGACCAGGACCAGGTCAGATGTAACCATGAGTTTGGCTCTTCTACTTGAGCTTTGGGGCTCATCTCTGCTGTAGACTGATGTATTCTGCTCCTCCTTAGCTGAACCGCTAGGTGAGTTTGAAGGCATTCTCTGCTTTAGGATGTACTGATGTCTTGCCAGTGTGCTTCTCTGTGTGGCAAGTAGAGCAAGTCTTAGCAGAGTGCACTCAGACGCCTCTGTAAGCCATCCTGGTGTATACCCTGCTATTGAGCATTTGTTTAGCTCTGGATTTGTATATTGGTGGTAACAGAGTAAGACTAAAAGCAGACTGCTTGATTCACCCTCTGGATGCCCCGTATGTGGCATCCAGGTCATAAGTTGATTTTAAAAAAAAACACAAAAAAACAAAAAAAAAACACAAACAAACAAAAAAACCTAAGCCTTGGAAAAAGATCTTATTCTCAAAATTGAGCTCATAGAAGTGGCTATCCAGGGAATATCTAAAAGAAAGCCCAATCAAGGCATTGGTGGCAAAGCCCCTACTGTGCGTCAAGAGCTGTCCAGGGTGCTGAAACCCACACTTCTCCTGATGAGTGTGCATTCTATTGCCACAGAGCTTAGCTCACACACTCCCTTGCTGGTAGATAGCCCCTGTCACTTACATAGTATTTTTCTGAACACCTGCTATCTGCAGGGTGTTGTTTTGAATGGTGTCAGAAGAGGGAGACATGTGGTCCTTGTCTTGCAGGTGTATATGCAGTAGCTGTCTCTGGGCATAAGTTTTTCAAAGATAGCTACCCAAATCTTGTTCTTAAAGGCCTTTAAGAATGCCATCTTGCCAAGCATAGTGGTGGATCTCTGAGTTTGAGGCCAGCCTGGTCTACATATGGAATTTCAAGCTATCCTGGGCTATATAATGAGACCCTATCTTTACAAAAGAAAAAGAATGCCGTTCTGGGGCTGAGGAGATTTATATATATATTCTCATATATATAGTGTTTGCCTAGCATGGGTTCAGCCCTAAGTTCAGTCCTCAGAACTGAGGCATGAGGGTTGCCATCTTTGCTTTAAGGATAAAAAATAAAAGCTTTGCAGGACCTGTAAGTGTGGTGGAGGAAACAAAAGGCTGGCATTATCCCTATCATCAGATTGTAAAAGTATTAGTAATTTGTTGATATTTCTCGTGGTGGTCTCAGGTTTTTAAAGTCAAGATTCTTCCATGGCTTGCTTCAAAGGACGTTTGTTGTTCTGACACTGGAGTGAAGAAACGTCCCAGCAGAGCAGGATCCTGCTCAGAGCTCAGAAGCCAAAGCTGCTGAATTTGCTCAGTGATTCTGCAGTTCAGAGTACCTTTCCTGAGAACCACTACAAAAGGGTTCCTCTTTGTTCTTATCTCAGTAATTTGTCTGACATCTCTCTGTAGGGTGCCTAAATGTCCTGACTTTTCCCACTTAACCAGCTCTCGTTCTTGGATCGCATTTGGAATTGCATGAGTTTTGCATGTTATTCTATTTTGGTTTGAATTTGCTTTTTAGTAACCAGATCGATACACGACTATTACTAGGTGAAAATAATGGATGATGCTGAGACTTTCGGCAACATTTGCTTCCCTTCCCCCTTACTAATACCAACAAGGAGAATAAATTTCCAGATTAAACTTCTAACTGGAATCGACTCATTGGCTACATTATTGTTTTTAATTAACATCTTTGTAGAGATTTCCATTCCTTCTTCTTACAGAGTCTTAATTCTAGATATCTTGTGTTCACACTTCTTTCTACTGTTTTGTTTTTCAGGGCAGTCCTTTACTAAATGAAGTTTCTTCTTCCCATATTGAAACCGATTCCCAAGCCTTCCTTCCAGCAAGCAAACCATCATCTGCCTACCCCTCCACCACAATCGTCAACCCCACCATTGTGCTCCTGCAGCACAATCGAGGTAAGGCGGCCTCTTGCAGGGAGCTGCAGTCTGCAGCGCTCCCCAGCCCTGCCCCAGGCCATCTGCCCCAGCTTCCTTGTAGGACCCACAAGATCGATCGATCGGTCCTAGCAGGGAGACAGAGGCCCCCGATCTGGAATGATAGCAGGTATCTATAAAGCTGGGCTAGTTCAGGGTCATGGCTAGACCTTGGTCTTT